CCATTTTCCATTGCGAATTGCATTGCATGCACTATTTCTTACATTGATTTGCTTACTGGTGCTGGACTTTAAATTGATTTAACTTGAAATGAAACAATTAAAGACTGGTTTACGAAAACGCGTTTATTCCGACCAACCGTCCGCACCAAAGGTAGATACAAATCAACTGAAAAATTCAACAAAAAACTGGCTGCTGGCTTTGGGCCGAAACCAAATCCGCTCTCAAGCGGTCTCTGACGGATTTCCTCCCCCAAAACCAGTTTGGAGCGCAGGTTGCATTGCGCATGTGTGCGGGAGAACGAGAGCTCACGGGAGAGAGAGAGCCATCCATGGCCAACCAAACTACCCACCAAGCACTTGCAAGGCATTCCGCTCGTTCTGCTGTCGCCTGTGTTGACGTTGTTATCCACTGGTTTTCTTTATTTATGTATTTGTTATTGTTTTTTAAACTGAAGCTGGCTTAGCAGAAAAGCTTGGCTCCAAACGTGCATGATCATGTTCTGTGGCCCCAAGCTTTTTGGCAGCTGCGTGAGAGCTCTTGCCGCAAAACTCTGGAAAATAAAGCGAATGACTTAAAATTAAATTTACGGTGCAAACAGTATTGGTAAAGCTCCGACAGGAGTAGTAAAAGTGCTTTTACTAAGTCGCTGTAGTCCGCCAAAATTGTTTTCTAATTCTCGAGCTGTATGGATTTTAAAGGAAAATTGTTTGACTTAAATTTTTTTTTTATTTACATTTGTAACATTACTTTTTCCGACAACAGGCGACAATAAAAGACAACAACAAAATTTTACAAATCTTAACAACCTAAGGTGTCGCTATGAAAGAAAATCGTTAAAAGTTGGTACTCCTCAAATATCACTTTTGTTTCTTATCATATTTGAACTAAAACATATTCTTTTTTCATTGCATAGACATTCTTTTTGGCGAAATAGCCTAATTGTTTAATTTACTTTAAAAACATGATATAATTCGTGCCAAATTAGCATTCTCGTACACATCTCTTTTATTAAGAGCCAAATTTCTATGGTTCATAAATGATACAACTTTTGACAGAAGCTATGTAGCTAAAAAATACAAAATTATTCTGCCCCTTGTGGGTGCAATAATGATCCTTTACATCTTCTAAGAAAGTAAATTGAACTTTGTTAAGCATCTAGGCAAAGATACATACATACATACATATGTACAATATGTATTTATTTCCCTAAAGACGAGTTAAAATATGACAAATTTAAATACGAGGCATCTACTCTTAATCACTGTATTTGGATATTTTTTAGCTGATAAGAGTGCTAAAATATTAATGATATAAAATTATATGAGTGTATTTACGAATTTATAGGGATGCAATCCAAGTTAAGAGTACTATTTAAAGCGTTCCAAGAAAAATATGCAATTTGATACTGATAAGAGTAGGGTCCGTCCGTCATCAATGTGTGTTATACAAGAGAAGAGCTTAAAAAAAGGTTGACTCTGGGTAAATAACCAATTCCCCCTTCTCCACACCTTTGTACAACAGGAGAAGCTGAAATAATGCAGCAGGTAGCATAATTTCTACTACGTAAACAAAGATGACTCACTAGTTCGGAAGAAGAGGGAATTCTTTTGGAGACCAAGTATGTATATGGGACACGATCGCATTGCTGGTCTCTTAGACACTGAACAAAAATTCGGATTATTGTTGTACTAATCTTTTAACGTCATTTTTAAAAAGCAATTATTTTAAATGTGTTAATAATAAAATGTAAAATTTCTTCCCTTTCCTAATTGACTTTTAAACTTAAAGAACTTTCGCATTTGATAAAATTATGACACGAGACTATAGTAACATTGCATTGCGCACGGATAATAATAATAAATTAAATGTAGTTCCAATTTTAGACTACAGGTATGATGTACAGATTTATGGGTTACATAATAAACCTTTATATCACTTATTCTTAATTGTTATTAAATACTGTATGTTGGATATCTGATAAAATTAAGATTTTTCTCTCGGTGGAATATCTCAGTCCCCCTCCCAACATAATCACTTGACCAACACATTGTCCAATAAATTGTTATGCTGCATGTGTGCCTTTCAGGCATTTTCTTTTGGTCCATTGCGCTATGAGTCATCGGGTTTCAGGTAGAACATGGTATTGGTATTGCAGACGGTCAGGGTCCAGGATCTCAGATCCCCCTCCAAGTTGCAGGTTCCATTTCCATTCCCTTCAATCAGTGGCACAAAGAGGGGTATGAGGATTTCATTTCAAGTCAAGTCAAGTTTTTACACCAATTGTATTTATATCCTTTTGTGGTATAGATTAAGGATCGTTTTGGGTAAATGTTATAAGAAAATAAGAAAGGAAGCTAACTTCGACACTCCGAAGTTTGTATACCCTTGCAGATTGCATTCAATCGTTAATAAATAATATAATATAAATTATATATATTTAATAAAGGAGTAATGGCTAATTTCATTACAGTCACCTATACTTATTATATTTCCAGTTTTACAGTTACAGTTTGCTATTTTCCTTTACATTTAATGATAGTTTTTATTGTAGCTTTATAAAATGGTCTCTTGATTCTAATAAAATTAAAACCAAAATTCTAAAATAATAAAAAATAAATATATCTTAAAATAGATGAAAATTTGTAAATAAGTTAAATTTGTTTGTGCTCTCTAACAACTTAAGGTTTATAAAAAAATGTTAAAAACTAGAAAAGTTATATTGTATATAGTATTATATTATATATTTCATGGCTGGCTCGACTTGGCTGTTGATGCTGATCAAGCATACATATATGTACTTTATACTTTCACTGCGTTGCAAACTTTGAATAAAAATTATAATATCCTGCAGGAGTATAAAAAAGCGAGATAGCCTCGGCAAGCCAGAGTTTATATACACACATTAGCAGTTACGATTAGTATTGATTTTGGTCAATGAAAAGTATCACTGGGAAAAATGCATAAAACATTAATATAAACATATTAAAACAACGGACTTTAGCTGATATTGCTAGTCTTATATCGATCGCTCCCATTGTTAATTTCCAATGTGAAACATATTAGTTGAAATATGAATATAAAATGTTAACGAAAAGTTAAGGGTCATGGCGAGATCGCGTCGGGTCTGCTAGTTTTACTTTTTAGAGTCTGAATAACTTCGAACTTGTGCTGGAAGCCTATTATTAAAATGTAAGATTTATAATATTTTCACAACTTAAAAATAAAGAGAACAACAAATGTAAGATCATATAAGTGTTATATAATTGTATGTAACTTGTATTGTATTTATTTTCCAATAAAAAGTTTACATAAATAATAATTCACACATTTCTCGTGAATTGCTTTATTACCAGACTTAAACACATTTGACATGTCTTAGGACCTAAACTACTACAATCGACATTAATCAGATTCAGCAAAAATCTATTTCTTAAACATTTTGTATCAACTAAGTTGTAAATGCTTAATAATTTAATTAATTTAAGTATAATAAAGACAGACGATGCTACGTGCTGTTAATATTAATTATATGCTCTTGGTGCTGTCAAAAACCGGTAGCGAGTGCTTTTTAAAATAATGTAGCTTGGCACATTTTGGTTTTGATTGTTGATAAGCTAAATGATCAATAAGTACTAATTGTTTTCTTAGACCTGCCACCACAATGCAGGGAAATGATATCTGTGTTCCAGTTATTTGATGCTAATGATGATATTAAGGCCATTTCATTCTTGTCAGTTGTGCGATAGCGAAGCGTTATCAAGATCAAAGAAGGGCGAAATGCGATAGGAGGATGCGTTTAGGAATGAGCATTGCAATGGTGGGTCACTAGATGAGGGGTAAGTATTTTAAAAATCATTGATATTACCGGGAGGGGTTGTTTCGAGGTCGGGAGTCGGGTTGATTCAGAAGAGCTTTAGGTATATCGTAGATATTAGGGAAGCAACGAATACGCATTTCGCTGTTAGGAGTAATGGCGGGATACATATCGAAAACGAATCTATAAATAGTAGTCACAAAATTGAGATTATAATTTAGGCGTTTGTTTGCATGTACATATATCCTCGGAGCACATAATATACATAAGCACTATAATGGTCATTACTACTGCTACTACCCGTTTATTTATTTTAATACTTCTATATGTTAACTTAATACAAATATCAATATATTCAACTGTCACAGAACTTGTTTGCTTAACGCACTTAAAGGCGACTTAATAATTAATACTGGGTCAGATACTGTCCAATTTAGACAGTGCGCTTCGAAAATGTGGAAGATTCGAAACAAAAGTGTAGTGTGTTTGTTTTTCTGTAAGTTTTAAGTGCGAGTTTTGTAAATGCAATTAGTCTGTAACAAAAGGAAAGGCATTCTCATTGAAGAAACGCACTGAAAATCAATCAATTGGAGACTTCACACCCCTTTCAAGTGGCACCCAAAACTTGTATATTGTCGTTTTCACACTACGCTTTCCTGGTGGTTGCTTCTTTATCTCCTGTCAGCTAGCAACGAGGCGGGTCTTTCGAGGAACCGAATATTTAAACGAGGGAAAATGGTGGATAACTTGATATCCCGTTTATAGCTCATGCCTGAGTATACTGCAATGTCCTTTTAATTATTTATAATTATAATTATTGGAAGGGTAGGAAAAATGTGTGCAGTTTTAGCTAAAATAATTTTGTATACAAAAAATATCAGAATCTATGGGACAATAGCAATTACATGAAGTGTTTGGTGACTTGGTTTCATGTACTACACCTTCTTAGATTTTGATGGGCTAAAACAAGTCCTTTAATAAGAAGATGAATTTTCAACCGGCGTTGAAACTATTACTATGCCTTCCCATTTCTTTTTAATATTAAGGAATATGTGCGGTTGATTTACCCTGTTTGGACATTCTCCCTCTCTCTACTCTGTTCCTGTTCAACGCTCTTTACGTTAGTTGATATATGTATTCTCAGGTACGCGCTGCATTGCTCTAGTTAACATTCCCTTTCCGTATAGTGAAATCTGCTAAAAGGAACATTGATCTTTTCTTCAGGTTTAAGCTAAGGGGCTAAGCTGCCAATTGGATGTAATATCTAGTATCCCTGGTGTTTATCGGTGGACTTTGGCTGCTCGCCTGCCTCCAACTGCTCTCGCTCCTGCTCCTGATCCTGAGCTCCGTTTTCATCTTCCTCATCGCTAGTGTCCACGTAGTTGCGCATAGTTAATGCCTGGAAGTCGTTCAAGGCCTGCTCGAAGAGATCTATGGTATGCTGATTGTGGGCAATCACCTGTTGGGTATTTCTCAAGTCCTGTGTGATGAGGTCCTGCATCGATCTTGAGGACGGCGAGAGGCAGGCGAGCGGCCTGCTATCTGCGGATTTGTGGAATTGGTTTGCTCACCGCTGCTGCTGCTGCTGCTGCTGGGGTCATCGCTAATGTTGCTGGCCGTCAATCCTCGAGTGAGCTCATCCGCATGTGCCAGCGTGGATCCGATGATGTCGCTAGCAATCCTAATGGCCGCATCCGTTGCTGCAATCGTCGATATAAACTAGAGGCAGCTGCTGCCACGGTGGCTGGAGAGGCTGTGCTGGTTGTCCTACTGAAGACGGTGTCACTGGTCACCTGATTGCCCTCGATGCGGAGACCGGCCACCCCCTTCTTAGGTATGGTGGCCAGATCCCGCTTAACTCTGCGACAACGAGTGGGTTCGTTTTGGCGTTGCTGTACGAGCTGCTCCAAGTCCACTATGTAGACATAGCCGGCCACCAGGATAGTGCATGACTTGTCGCCCTTCTTGAAGGCCTCCTCGATGTCCTGACTAGTACGATCATCATATTGCCACCAACCTGCGGTTATACATATTTACAAGAGCAAACAAAGTTTGGAATGGGACTTGGATCTTCGCCTTTCAACCTCTGAATCACAGTTTGATTTTCTGCCTAGGATGTAGTTGTGGGAATAGGAATGTGGAGGGGATTAGGAGTAGGTGGGTGGGTGATTTAATCAAGCTTATTTGTATCTTAGGTGCTTGCTGAGCCCAGCGACGCCTTTGGTTACGCCTGGGACTGCATCGGTGCTCTTGCATCGCATTATATTGCGTCGCCTATCGGGGCTCGAGCGGGGATATTGCTTCATTTTCAGAAAGTCAATAACGTACATTTCCCCGCAGATCTGCTGATGCAACCTGCCCGCATGCGGTCCAATTTCGGATAGATCATCGGAGGCGCTGCTCTGCCAATCGTCCTCAGCCGAGGCATCGTAGTCGAAGGCGTCGTCACCAAAGATCGAATCACGATCCTCATCCTCCATTTCAATTGTTTCGTCTTCGGAATCATCTGCGTTTAGCTCTATAGAAGATTCGGTAAAGGAAGAAGGTGCAGCATTGCCAGGCGCTGCACCTAGGATAGATGACATTGGTTCGGTGACAGCCGGCTCCGTTGGCTCGGGAGGAGGACGAATGGGATTCGCTGGATTGTGATCCTCTGGATGATCGGTGGCTTGGCCGTCTTGTACCTTAGATAACCAGCATATGCGATCTCGATGTCTTCGTTGGTCCGAGGATCGTAGGCCCACCAGCCACCTAGATGTGCATGGTGCGTGTGTGTTTTCGGTGGGGGTTATGGGATATGAGGGGCGGCCGACACCAGAAGCGTAATTCTACTCACCGTTCCTACCCTCATAGTACCATTGGTATCCGTCTTCCGTAGCTCGCGTGGTGCAGATGTCCTCGATGCCATTAACCAGTTGTGGATGGTCCAGGAATTCGGCGGGGATCTCGCGGCGGCACATTGCACAGCGTCGATTCTTATAGGCAACACCCTGTTAATTGGTCGGAAATACGTATTTTTAAAACAAATTCATTCACATGAGTATTATATAGTTGGGAATAAAATCGATGCAGTTGATAATTGTTTTCATTATCTATATAGCAAACCCCAAAAACCCACTTAACTGCATGTGGATTATTAAATGTGTAAATGATCGCCTCAAATTGGCATTTACTCACGTTCAAGCTAAGTAAACTAGTTTAGGAACTGGAAAATGCACTCTAGTGCTAATCGAATACTTGTCTCTGGTCTAAACTGTTTGAATGTGTCCGGAGTGGAAAGCAGTTGACAAGTTGCCAGCCGGAAGCCAAACTAACTTCATAATGCCAGTGAGTTTGGGTCTTTGCCAGGCATGCTAATCAATCAGTCAGGCGCGAGTCGTCACCAAAGGGTTGAGAACAGCCTTGAACTTGACTACGTGCTGGTTAAAAAATCAAATTCCACCAATTCGACGATGCGGTCCGCATTGCTAATAGGCTGAAAAAAGCTTCCGCTGTTGGGTGTTGGAACTACGCACCTTAACACACAAGAAACAAAAGATGTGGCCACAGGGGAGACGTGCTGGATGGATGCAGGTTTGCAAGCAGATGGGGCACTCCAGGGCACCAGCAGCAGCTAATGGTAATGAGGAATCCTCGCCAGAAGTAGTTGTTGCTGCAGGGGAAAAAACGATCATTTTGTACAAACATTTGGGGTTCGTTAGTGGCTTCTCACCTGCTTCCACGTTGATGCTTTTGCCAGCTGCATCTGGCGTTGTAGGGGCTGAGACAACACCTGGGGGTGTGGTCACAGCAGGAGATGAAGGATCTTGATGAGGAGCACCTCCGGAAGCTCTTGCTAAAGTTCCTCCTGCAGCGGCAGCTGCAGCCGCCGCGGAAGTCGAAGGCGACAGGCAGAGATCAATGGTGGTCATGGGGCGGACGATTCCCACAAATTGCACGTCCTCATCCTCGTCGTCGTCGTCCACGTCAATCACATCGTTGTTATTATGTTCTGTGGCGCGTTGCTGCGACATTTTTCGACTCGCAAGAGCACGTCAGGCACCAGTGGATTAGAAATTAAATTATTTTTTATATCAAAATAACAATATCTTTTTTCTCAATTTGTTTTTCTTTTGCCCAATTTGTGGATAATTTTTAAAAACTTTTTGGTCACTCTAAAGTCAGGAGCTGTTATTTAACATTTTACATCTTACGCGAATGAAAAGCCATTCTACACGCTTACAGATACATGGAGTCGAATTCTCACTTTTGGGGTCGAATTTCTCGTTGGCTATTGGGTGTCGGTCCTTGACATATCGATGCTTAGTTTGCCCAAATATCGATGTTGTTATATTTGTTTTTTTAAACTTGCCTTTACGTAAAATTTTACATCTTACATGTCAATATCAAATTTTACACGTTTACGGATACATGGGGAAGAATTCTCGTCTTTGTGTTCGCATTTTCGTCTATGATAGATTTTTTAAAGTTACTTATTATTTTAATTAGGTTGAAAATTTATCAGCTATATTTTTATTTCGTTATTTTGTGTATTTTTCAAAGAAATCTGGCGTTTTAGAAGAAAAGAGAGGCCGTGTTTGCTACAGGAAAAAATACATAAAGTATGGCCGTAATCTGCGCGATAAAATACATAATTAATGACCATAAAAAAGAGGAGGGAAAGGAATATTAATAGCATAAACAATCGGCGCGCTTTTTAAATGTAATTTTGTTATATTATACCAAGTTGGGAGTTTATTTTAATCTTATGAAATTGTTGTAGTAATTATTGCTAAAGTTTTAATCGGTGTCTCGGTGGAGTTCCGTTAATGTGTAATTATTATCTATTATATTTTATTATTTCTATTATAATTATCATATTATTATATTGCACAAATCAGAAGCAATCTTAATTTAAAATTTAAATACTGGTAATAATTTTCAATGTATTCTTTAAATTTTATTTGATTGTAGAGCCTATATTTTTTTTAAACCTTTTGGCAAGAGTTTAACCTGGCGATCAAACCATTTATACTCAGTATAATTGTATGTCAAAACTAAAGGCTTACTTATTGGCAGAATCGCAATCAATATTTAAAATTAGGAATGGTGGAAGAAAAACGACTTCGAATTCCCAATCGGTAATTAAAATCAGTTAACAGATCTACTCATATTATTTCAGTCAACACATATATACATGATATATGTATGAATATGGCCATAAAAATAGTTTACTTTAATGTACTCTTAGCACTTTCTAGCAATAAAATGAAAACTTTATGATTTTATAAACAAATAAAACACATAATAAAATTGAAATTTACTATTCGCTGCAGTATTAGTATTCTGAAGGATTCATTTAAATTTAAAACAAATTGTAATTCATTTTTGTAAAACCAATTTGAATCTCAAGCCAATCGTTTAATTTAAGTTAGTGAGGATAATATACTTAAAATTGATTTTATTCCCTTTTTCCTCATTTGTTGGGCAAGTAACTTTTATTCTTTTGTATAATTAAAATAAAAATTAATATTTATTTCATAATAATAAAACTACAAAAATGTATTGTCTTCATCCAATTTATTAACATTTAGAGTCTATGTAAATATGAATAAATATGCTTAACATATATAAAATTTTTACAGTTCTTCAATTTTGGCTTACATGTTATATTTATGAATTTAATCCCAAAAAGGACACTTTGTAAATATGGTTCAAACTGTTACTGCAGGCCGTTCATAGCCTTTTGGCGTTGCTACATTAATAACGCTTTATTAAATCCAACAAAAACCAATTAAAATTATGCGCTTCATTAAATGCAACACCTTTTCGCCAGCCGCCGCCGCGCTGCTCAGAAAAATCGGACGAGAATTTAACTTCATAAAAATTGACAGCCCTGCGCCCAGCGTTTCGGTCAGCGAAAGCATCACGCACTTTTTAATATGCAGCCGGCATGCGACAGGCCAAAAAAAGAAAAATAAATAAAATGTACAAAAAGTAAAGCACCCATGCGGCCAGTTGCAGTTGCCTGGACAGGACCTTCGGACTCATTACACAAAAATCAATTTTTGGTTTATTTTTGCGTTCGCTCCTCTCTGTGCTCCACAATTGGATGTCATTTTTTGTCAATTACATAACACACCCACACAGACCAGGGCAATTGCCTAATTGCACGACGGGCAAACGCGTCGAAGTCAACTGCCGACGAGTTTTGTAAATTACTCTCGTTCTGCTCTGATGTCCTGGTGTCCTGGCGTCGTCCTTCGGGCTGTTTAATGCACGTGTCCCTCTGGGCGTTTTAAAAATGTGTTGCCTGTCCCGGGATGCCACTGATTCGACGTGATTTGCCTTTGGGAATTGTGTGTACTTCGAAAGCCAAAAATTTTAATAAAAGCGCGATTCCACAAAAATTCGACTATCGGTTACCTGGTTTTGTGATATGTGAAACGATGTACACAAGAAACTTGACTGAGTTTCCATTAATATTTTATTAACTGGGATGTCTAAAAATGTTCAAGCAAATAACAAGTCTCTGGGTTACAGGAAAATGATTTTGTTTGATTTCATATCCTTTTTACTTTGTAGGACAAGACTAAGATATTTTCTAGTTCGAGGTAAACTTTATTATTAGCTTTATTATTTGTATATTAGGACTTGTGTATTTACAAAGCTATATATTAAAAATTAAGCATTTGATGAACAAGTTCTCAGAGCAAAGAAGTTTATAAGTGTTTCGGTTTCATGAATTTGGAAAAAAAAACGCGAAAACTAAGCAAAAATTACTAACAATATATGAGGATGCAGAGATTCATTTGACCTGATTCCGGATCTGATTCAAAGCAAAACTCAACTCTATTTAGGAATTTCAATTTCAACCTCTTTACATATTCTTAAAAAATATATATATTTAGCATAAATTTGTTTTAAGCTTTAGTAAACTTTAAGAAAAATACATGCCAACATCTTCTTAAATACATATGTACATATATATAGTATTTTCGGGATATAAAATCAAAGTGCTTGAAGTTCAATATACCCCGTGAGTATGCTATAACGGGGCACCCTCGAACTATTTAGTATGCAAGGCAAGTCCTTCAACTCTCGGCACTCAACCCTTTATCCTGAGTGCTCATTTTTGCACTTGATTTTTGTCATAATTGTTCTATGCGCTGCACAATTGAATTTTTATTTGGCGGCAAACGATCGCGGGGACAGAGCAAGTTGAAAATGTGATTGGCCCTTCATTGCTTCATTGGCTTGTGGCCACAAAAAGAAGGTCATAAAAACGTAACGGAATAAAAAAATAAATGAAAAGAAAACCTCAAATCTTAATGTAATTATCTGGGCAACAAAAAAAAAAAAAAAAAAAAAAAAACAAGAGTTTGTAAGGGAAGGATGCCTCAAGATTATTAACACAAAAGAGGGCCGCAATGGTCGTCATAAGCGTAAAATTATTGCCATCCCCCGGACTTCGTCACCACGCTTTTTACCATAAAAAGGAGAAAAAATGAAATTTCATGTCTGCTCACTTTGCACCCTCCTAGTAATAAGCTACTTTTGCATCTTGCCTATTGCTCTTTATTTTATCATTTTCTGGGCTTGTATTTCTTTCCCCCAAAATACTTTTATATCGTTTATTTTTTTGTTGTTGCCAAATCCCTTTAATAAACGAAAATTGTGTGCATTACATGTGGAGAGTGTCAGTGTCAGTGCAGGCTAAGCTCTAATAAATTTACGATCGGAATTTCGCAAGAAATTCCTGTTAAAGAAGTGGTTTTCATCAAAGCGATCTAATATATGGGGATTATGGATTTATCGATTGGCAATAGGAAAGCGAATTTATATTATATAAATAAAATACATTCGAAATTTAAATATCAATTAAAGAATAATCCTAAAAGTGATGCTTTCCCCTTCAAGACAAGTTTTCTCAATGTTAATTTGGGAAGTAAAATATTCATTTTATAATTTTTGGGCAGTTTTTGAAATTTTGGTTAAGGGCCTCTTATCCATTTGTATATATTATTTACATTGAATTCTTATTTATTATTTTCTTTGTAATTCTATAATGGTATTTTTTAAGAAGATAACTAATATTAAGAAGATGCCCTTAATCTCTATCCTGTCCGAAGAATTAAGTAAATGATGCCAAAAGTTTGAAAAAATGTGTCGCTGTCCAATCAGTGAACTACTTTCTGAAAAGTGACAGCTCTTCCACCATATTTTCGCGATTCTCCCTGCCAGTGTCAGAGCAGCTTTTTAATTAAAATATAAAAACGAAGGGAACGTGCCGCGGTCGTTAGGCAATAAACTTGGACACCGCGCATCCTGCCAAGGACAATTACCAGGCGGAAAATGTCGCAACATTTTCGCCCCTTATCGTAGCCTCGGCACTTTAGGCCAAGGAATTCCGAGCCGCGGCATAAAGGAAAACGAATTAACGACATTGTAATGCTTATCTGAGAGAAAAGGTCCTTTGCGGAGAGCACAAGGCGTATCCTTTTCCGTCCCGCTCTCCGAAACATATTTTCCGTGAAATCTTAGGTAGGACCTTAAAAAAAGGGAGAAATCTTGATTTTTAATGTTAACGCTTTATTTAATTATGTGCAGACGAGACAACTTGAAGTTTGCTAATAAAATGCTTAAGGAGTGCCGTTTTTGCTTTCCCTCATTTTCCATGAGCAATAAAACCCACAAAAAATGGGCTAAAAACTCCAGTTTTTTCAGCTACTTTCGCTCTCGGTTTACTTTTTTTTTTTTTAATAAAGACTTCAACAGATGGGCGGCGATAAAAAGGCAAAGATTATGGGGCAGACTACAAAGGAGAAGCTCGGGAAGGTCCAGTGTCGTGTGGCTTTTGACACCCCGAAAAAATACAAAAAAAAAGAAGCCACAGTTTCAGCATTTTCCCCCATTCTTTTCACATTCAAATTGGGTTCGGACAAAAGGCCAGACGCATAAGATTTAGTTTTAAGCGTTAACACTTGACCCAAGGACAAGGGGTTGGAGACGAGGGTCCTGCTGCGAGAGTTGCTTACTTTTTATGGCTTTAAAGATAAGCGTTTATGTCTTATTCGTAT